AATAACACGTTGTGACCTAACCCCGGTCCGAGATAGACGCGTAAAAATCTCCAATAGTCATCTGCGCACATGCATAAATTAATGTGTGCTCTTCTATAGATGATAATGACGATGATAATGTAATGTAATAACCGCGAGGTACTATGTATTGTCCGAGTGGGCCAGACGTTGTCGTCATAGCGTTATTAATTTTAGTGTGCACAGTGGCGGCTCTGCAGAGTCGTCTTAAAATCAGTATACACGGACAAGATAGTGTTTTCAAAAGGGTTGTCCCATCAAGGAACAATTAGTCGTGGGGTAGGATTTATGTACCCACACACACACACACACACGTGTATATATGTATACGGCCGACTTGGTTCTCGTCCGAGAATGGTACAATCGCCGTTGAATGCGTGTTCACCGTTTCGTCAACGTCTGGATGCACGACCATTATATTAAAACAATATAATCTTAAAATGATGGGGTAATAAATTATATTATTATTATTGTTTATTGTCATAATATTATGATATTGTATGCCTACTACCTACGATGATAGTACGCACTGCACTTATCATAATATTCGTCAAACACTGCTGTTGTACAGTTGCCATCGCGCGTAGGTGTATTAAAAACAAAAAACCAAAACACCCCCTCAAGGAATAGACAGATATTACACCGGATATATATAACACGAATATATGTACTGAGTTTGTTGTTGTAGTGAGGGTTAAAAAAAAAATACAGTAAGCCACACGGTCTAAAAAAATGTTCAACCAAGATTAAAATGTAAATGGCGAATCGCTTTGTATCCCGAATAATATTATTAAAATTTTGTTTGCGGTGTCGATTTTATAGATTTTATATATTTACATACTAATAATTACTATACAGATTAAATAGCAGGAGTTGATCTGGCGATAAAAAAATGGGAAGCTTGAGAAAAAATGTACTTGCGTATAAGTAAACAGGTACTCGTAGTTTTTAAAAAATATAATCAATAAACCATTTATTTGCATAGAATATTGTTCGTTAAGATAATCTTTAAAACGGCTCTCAGAGGGTAAAAGTCATAACCGACCCGTTGTATCTATATCTATCACTGGTAACGTGGACTACGTTCAAGTAGTTTATAATTGTCTATTCGTGACAATAACAAAGAGATTTGACCTTGTTCCTCTACGCATATGTATGTAGACGATTTAATAAAATAAATTCAAAAGTGTTTCTCGGGGCCGTTTTCGATAAGCTACACTATATTGAAAATACTGCCGACAACTCATTGGGACGAACGGAATAATATAATATATTACACGAGTGGACGCCACTTATTTCGGGCGAAACGGATCATCATCAGACTAGTAAGCCGAGACGATCACGTCTTCTGGCACGCCGTTTATCTTTGGGCACGCGCCGCGCTGGTTAGATAAGGTCTATCGCACCGTGGCGGTTGATGTATCGGCGCCCGTCCGCGTGTACCGCTCGTGCTCGGACCTGCAGGTTATCGAACACAGAGAAAGTGAGCGGGAAACATCAGTCGAAACCCCCCTCCGGTTCATATTACGTACATGTACGTGTCATTATTATAATTATTATTATAAATATTTTGTGATAATAGTTTTGGCGTGCAGAATCAGTCGGAGTTCAAGTTGACGCTCAAATCCGTTGCATAAAATATGTAATTACTTCTGGAAACGATTCGAAAATAGTTATACATTACAATATTATATGTATTCACTTAGCGCGTAGCAAATTATACGACAGAGAAAAAATGTTTAGACTTACCCACCCAACAACCCAACAGTTGAGTGTAAAAAAAAAAAAAAAAAATTAATTATAATTATACGACAAACCATTATTAAAATCTGGTTTTCGACGAATGCATTCATATCTATGTACTATTTCAATGTTTCATGATATATTATCTAGCGATTGGTTCGCGGTTCACGTGGAAAAATATCTGGCGCCCGAGAATCGGGCCACGATTAGTATGTCACAAATCGCAATTTTTATATCGGGATGCAATTCGTATGCAGCCGACGTGTCGGAACCATAGAGACGAATGTTTTTGTTAAAATAGTATTCCTATTCGAACAGCTGATGGTACCATCCATGTACCGTTGCTACAGTAGTCAATAATAATTATCAAGTAATAAAGCGAAATTACTATTTCACGTACGTCTGGAAATGGGCGTCCGGAAATCGGGCCACGATTAACCTTTTTACCAAAAAGGTATACACGATAGTAATTGGGTCACTTCTGTTTTACATTTATAATAGGTAAAACCGGTGATTGGGCCATTATTTTCAACATTTTTTATTGTTGTATACGCCGTATACGGTAATCGGGCCACAATTAAATTTTAAATTTTAATGAAATAATATTTGGCATAAAGCATGTCACATATATTAAATCACAACAATACTTAAAACTTCAGTGCACACGAAACTTTATTCGAAGTGACCGCGTGCTTTATAAAAAAGTAATAAATTATCCAATATCAAATGATAAAGAATTGGTAGAGGCCGCCACCGAATAAAATGGATAAAATTATCCAAAAGCGTAATTTACAAATATTATAAAGCATCGCGATTGTTTAGATGAGTGCAAACTATATATTATCCACATTTAATATTACATGTATCTACAATTCGGTTAATTAACGACATTTTCAGATTATATTCTTGACACCTATATTTATGATGATATTAATTTCCTTCCGCATATACGGACGTTACGGTCTAAATCTATTACTCGAACTACAAATGTCGTCGAATCTTTTCGTTCGTATTTCAAAAATCATTTTTTAAAATCACATCACTACCAAGTACAATAAAAACCAAAAAACGAACTTTAATTTGAAAAAATTATATTCTCAATGAAATTAAAAAATACTAAGAAGGAGAAAAAACGAGATTTGAATTTGTAAAACCTGTATCATAATTATATTTTCATATATTAGAAAAAATATATATAATTATTGACTAATTTTATGTACTTTGTTTTATATTAAATTTATTAAATTGGATTGGCATCATTTAAAATAATTGTATTTTTATTCGTATATTCCTGTATTAAAAATGTATGACCAAATCTCTAGATACACTTTAAAAAACAGATTTAATATGTAAACAAATATTTTTTTTCAGGTAAATAAAATGTGGCCTAATCACCGACCACCCAAAATATAACTCTGTGTAATACAAGTACAAGAATCATAGAAACATGTTGTCATTTCTAGAAAAATGATATTGTAATTTATTAAGTTACTGAAAACATCATATTATATATAAATAACAAAGAATATTAAGTTATTTGAAGTTTTAATCTCGTGACTGTGTAATAAATGCATGATCAATATTCATGTTACTTAATAAATAAAGTAGCCTGAAGTTATTTTATACAATTTACTACTTGTTCTATATTTATAGATGCAAATAATAGATGACTTTAATAATTGTATTTGTATAATTTTAAATTTACATAAATTAAAAATAAATTTACTGTGATTTTGAATATAAAAATATGTAAATGTGACTATGAAAAAAGTGATAAGTAAATTTTTTTTTCTTTGCCTCCTCAGGTGCATAATCATGTTTATATTTAATACGTTTAAATAAACTTTAAGTTAGAGTAAGTCCTGTATTATAACAAAACAAAAAGCCTCACATATAAGTATTTTAAACTTCGTTCCACTCGCGTCAAAGGATTAAGAAATGTGTTCATCCGACTACACAGCATCACAGCATCATTAGCATCTAATTATTATTTTTCAAATAGTTATAAAACATTATTGTGTGTCTCGACTCTCGGATTACACTCTGAACGAATACTCGAGTATAGGAAGAACGGCGTCCGATCGGTTCAGGGCACGCAACGAGTAACCCACACGGGATTATTATTACCGAAAATAGATTGAAATACACATTTACATGTATATAAAATTAATGATTTTTATACTTTTCACGTTTTCGAGCGTATATTAATTTAATCTACGGCAGCGCGACGTAATGCGTGTAATTGTTACGAGCGGCGCGCGACAATGTTCGAGGATTTTCGTGTGCGGTCCGAAGTAGAAGCATAAAACAAGTCTCACTCAAGTGCAAACCGCGTATCAGCTGCGCTGCCGTTCGAAAATACAACCGACTGGACCGATATAGTTAGTCACGGCCATACTATGATAATATATTACGATGATAATCGTTGGTCGTATACTCGTATATATATATATATATATATTTTTTTTTTTTTTTGTTGTTGTACAATATGTAACTACCTAGTTAAGACACGCTTAGCTTTACGGCATTATAACAGTGCCAAAGACTACGTAATCGATAACACACGCGTGTGATTCACACGAGACCGTGTAGAAGTAGCGGAAATCTCTTCCTATAAGTAAGTTTATTAGGAAGTCCTACATCCCATAAATCTCATATAATACAAAATATGTATCCAAAAATGAAAAATCCGAGCATTAGTATAACCACTCTACATACATCACCATACCGACTATTAGTTGATTTCATATAGGTACCTAAAGCTGTCTTTGAATACAAAACTATTAAATAATATTAAACCTAATAATACAATGTAGGTACCTACAAATAAAAAAAAATATATGATAACAGCTGCGAATATATGAATATGAAATAATTGCGCTTCTTAGAAATTATTTTTCTGCATGACCAAAACCGTTTCCTGCTCGTGTACCTATACCTATACCTATTTTAATTACTCTTTAAACGTTTAATAACGAGAAGTATCTGTCAATTATTCAACTTTCGACATTTTTGCATGCATTTTGATTTCCAGTTTAAGTAGACCGAAAATCCTACGAAATTATATTTCAACCGTAGCTTTTAGGCTTTCTAGTAGTGGGTAGCTGCGATGTCCCAAAAATTATATTTCAAACATAAGAAAAAATACTTAATGAACGGCAACAATAAAGGCGTTGCGGTAATAGCTGCGGTTCTGTATATTTATATTATATATTATATGTTTTCACAACGTCACTGACCTGTCGGAACTGCTCTTCGAACGTCCACGACTGCGCCTCGTTGTTCCGGGCCGCGGACGGCGACTGCACGTCGGTAGAACGACCGCCGGACATTGGCACGTCGCCCGAGTGGCTGGACTTTGGCGACAGGTCAGCGGCCGCTGCCACCGCCGCCGCGTGTCTGCTGAGCGCGGCCGTCGTCAACGACACGGCCACGGAGGACGGCTGCTGTTGCAGTTGCTGCTGGTGCATCGGCGACGGTTGTACGGATAGCCCCGGATGTTGGTACACGAGATGTTGGAGCATGGGAGTTATCAGTCGCGAACCGGAAGCCAATTGTCTGGCAAGCTGATTGAGGGTTTCGCGTTCCTCGCGCTGCGAATAAAAATCACGCTTTAACGACGACGAAAAACTAAATTTTATCCACACCTGTGTATTACGCCGTCCCTCCCCCTCAAATTCGCGATATCTCTCTACCCCCTGAAATCGTAGAATTTTTACCTGCATTTCCAGTATGTCTTGTTCGTCCTCGGGCGAACAATCCTCGTCCTGCCGACAGTCCATCATGATGTCGTCGTCGTCCATGTCACGGTCGTCCATGTCGCGATCGTCTTCGTCGTCGTCGTCGTCGTCGTCGTCCGTGCAGCCCTTAGACCGGGATGGTGACGTGTCTTCGGCCACTGTGGAGTGGGGCCAGTGAAATGCGGCCGCGTGCGGCTGTACGCTCAGGTTGAGATTGAGTCCCAGCCGTCTGGGGCTTCCGGCTTCGGTGGCGGCCATCTTCACTTGTTCTGTCTGAGCGTTGCGCTGTTGTTTGTCTAGCTCAGGCGACGGTTCACTATTCAGCTGTAGAAATCCAAAAACGTCGTACATCAATTATTAACCGTGTAAACATAATCATACTGTTCGGGAATTAAATTATTTTAAATAATGCGTAGGAGGAAAACTTCTTCGTTAAAAAAAAAAAAAAATAACAAAACGTTATACGTCTTCTTTATAATATGAATTACACATTATGAATTATTATGTAATATTATTGTGTTCCTAGTAATCAACTAGTCTTTGAAAACGCCAGTTTGCTTGTTAACGTATTATAATATTATATTATCGAATTCTTGGAAACTTTTGTTATAGTAATTTATGCACTATTTGTAAATAAATAATTAGAGAAATTTATAGGGTTTTTCAATATTTGCTCAAGTCCGTGAATCCGTAACAAAGCTTGTAAAATTAAATTAAATGCCATCTATTTGACAATAAACTTCAGTGTAAAATGTAAGTGTACGTTAAATGACAGTAATTTAGTATACGAATTAGTAACAATTTAAAAAAAAATTGAATTAATCATTTGTTATAATTTAATACGGTAATATTAGAATGTAATATGTATACGTCATTTTACATTCTTCTATATTAGATTTACAAAACCTAATCTTTAAGACAATAAAGCTCTCATAACACGTATAATATATCGTACATTATGATAGAACGATAGAGTTAATTGTGTACTACATTTTTGTCAATTCCGATCAAATTATATTTCTTAAATAGTACATACCTATAAGCATTGAACATATTTATTTTTTATAATACTAAAGACATGGGACAAGAAAAACGAAATATCTTGATTTATAATGTATGATATCATTGAGATAGATACTTATTCAGTATAACAATATATCGTATAATAATGTGCCGATAGTTTATAATTATTCAAACAGAATCGGTCAGACGTGCAGCTGCGTTAAATAATATACTATTGGAACTCACAGGTCGAGTGGGCATCGGGCGACTATAGGTACAGACGGAACAACGACAGTGGAGTTTTCTTCTATACTAATAATATTCTTTTGATCGTATTTTCGATGTCAAAGAAACAGAATAATATAGATACAAGATACGATCGAATAACAATAATAATAATAATAATAACAATAATTTTTGTACATCTTTTGTGCGTGACGCAACCGTTTTCAATCTTTAATATTTTAATTTATGTCAGCAATGATGCACCAGCGTAGCACAGACGACATAACTATAAGGTACTGTATCCGGGAGTTCACCCTTCAGTGGTTCATCGAGTTCACATTATAATATAATACCATTTATACATTGTGATAGTCCCACGCAGAATATCTTTAACCATTCTAATCTGTTGTGTCAAAAATAATAATGGAGATAATAATATAGCCTTACATCAAATCTCACGATAAAATACACATAATAATTACAATAACATATTAAAATCATATCGTACTTTCAACCGATTCTGCATATATTATTCCATATTTGAATGATAGTAGTACACTATAGTACCCATGTATTACAAAATGATATCGTGTCGACGTTATTGGTAAAAACTTTTCAAAAATATTCTTCAACGTATTTCAATTTCAACATACGGTATTCGAGTACAACGAAGTTTTTAATTTTTATGCACGGATTCGCTTTAAAATCGAATATCTAAAACGCACTGATGTGATATTTTTATCGGATATAAGAAGTGTTCTCGATTTTCCATTCGACATCGTGTTTTATCGTTTTATTGTCGCCGAGTCGATTCGAAGGCGTCAACAACTCAGAAATTGGCATAACCACGAGCCTGTTAATTAATAATAAACTAGCTGGCGTTATATTCTATTAATTTTATTATTATTATTATTATTATTATGATTATGATTCGAATGGCCTGGTATTAAGAAAAAATAAGTATGTACATATATTATTTGTGTATGACGTGTGGCCGACTGCCAAGTGGACTAATGTAATTTTAATGAAACACGTGTTATTTTTCCATATATCCTTCATCTGTCGCGCTCGTGAGCTTTATTATTAATTCACTCAGAAATCGTCATATTATCGTCAACTGAATGTCATAAGCAATTTATCAAAAAAAAAAAAAAAAAAAATCCTGGCCAAAAATACGATCCGTCGGAACGATTTGGTTTCGTGCGTGCGGTCGACGCTTTAAGAACATTTATTCCCCCTTGTCTACAGGCCACCCATCGAAAATCGATTAAAATATTGAATTGCACGTAATCGTCGGACGACAGCGGTTTATACGAAACATAATATAATATTATACATAGATATGTATAGCAGAAAATGACGTCAAAACTGTACAGTGTTCAGGTACGACGCATCGCATGAAACAGTGTACATAAATCGGTAGGTAAAAGTAGATATACTATTTTTATTTTTATTTCGTTGTGCGTGATCCGATCGCACGAACAAGAGTACTATTAATTTTTTTCTGCAAACCACGTAATATGGTAAATTTTGATTTAGCAAAACCTGCAATCTTTTATTGTTTACTTAAATGTATTGGAATGAAATGATTTATTATTAAACTTAAAGTTAAAAATATTACCTGTTGCTCGTAAGCCAGAGAGAGAAAACATTTAATTGTGTACTCTCATTTCATTCGAGTAGATTTCAGTAATTGGCATTGCGCTTTTAATATAATACAAATATATATTTATATATTTGTCTTATTAGTTTTCATTATCATTTTTATTTATTATGATTGATTAAACACAAATTTACGCCTTTTAATGTAATGAATCAAATATAAATATTTTATTTAACACGTTTTTAGATTTTTAAAATCTGCGTATTAAAAAGTGAAAATATTTAAGATATCTAACAGCTAACGCAGTTTTCATTTCAAAATCATAAAAATACTTAAAATATCTTTCAACATAATACAACCGATTTTCTTAGAATATGAGCTAAAATTTGAGTACAAAGAATAAATTAAAATTATTTATTAATATTTTTATCACGTCGTATTTTGAACGCATACGAGCCCATTGATTGTAATACTGCCCTTATACGATGTATATCATCGTGTATTTGTGTATGTAATACACGCGGAGTCGAAATCAAACAGATTTCGATTTGTATTATTATTTTTTTTTTTTTTTAATAATAAAAAGAAAACATTAGAGGAGAAACAACGCGAGCGCGTAATAATTACACCCTACGACCTTTTATCGCATGATAAACATAATATAAGTATATTAATAATAATATTCAGCGCCGCCGCCAGTTGTATAGATACTACTGCACCATCAGTTGTGCAGCAGCAGACTACGTATGTAATTATAATTCCGATACCAATCGTCTAGATTCGTATAATGCGCCGTATATGTATAATGTTCATTTAACGATTCGATTAATGTATGATATTATTAAATATACAGTAGGTATATAATAATATCGACCTTATTACGGATTGTACGAGACGACGATGGGAGCGACTACTGGTTTTTACGGGAATATGGTTTTTTTTTTTTTTCCGGGATATCGTGACCGCTTTGGGCTCTAGGATTGCGTGTCCGCGTTCAATATATAATATTATAACACTCAGATCCACTGACGCACATACCCACACACACACACACACACACACATACACACAGATTACGGGATCGCGCGCGCGGGTATCGTTTTTTATATTAATATATAAAAATATAAGAATTCTCTATCGGATCACGCTATACACAACTATACTTTATTAGCGTCTCCGAAAATGGACACCAATTGCGTAGATCAAATTCAACTTATTATGACGTTAATTTATACGAATCCGTTGCGCGAAAAACGCGACGTACGCTGCGATACACTGTATCGTGCCACCGGTGGCGTACTGACGTGTTTATACTACAGAGTAATCCGCCCAGCATACCCAAATATACTGTTCAGCTACAAATTTTTTAGAACTTCTCAGTTAGACAGGTATACAATAATAATTAAAAATATATATTTTAAGATGTAGGTACGCATATGTTTATGGTTTATACTGTAAATGGGGCATAAATGTACAATAATACAATATATTATACCTGCAAGAGTCAATTCCTAATATCAAGTATATTTTGTATTTTTATGAACAACCTTAGCTTGACATATATAACGTGGAAACATATTTAATTATTAATGTACTGTATGCTGTCATCAAAAAACGTACGTTAAGTAAAACAGTGCAGACCACTATTCAAACAATTTTTTTTTTTTTACCAGTTACCAAAACGCTTTACGTGAGGTCGAGCTACGATCGATTTTTCATCTCCTACGCTCTCTCAAAACTAAATTCCCGAAATTATAATATGTATTCTCCTCCTGTACACATTATAATATGTATTTATTATACAACGCTACACCATGGCCGCCGTGACGATAATAATTATTATCGTTTCAGGCGCGTTTTAATAACTGTTATTTACGAGACCCGTCACGACTGTACGGTGACTACCGCGGCGGATCGAATATCAACGTTATAATGTGGCCAGAACAAAAATACATATATATATATATATATAAATATACAAACTATAAAGAATAATAAAATACATTGATTGTCGTTATATCCTGCAAGATCTACACTGGCGCGTATAACATAATATATGTATATATTATATATATACTCGTATTTATGGAATAACCACAGACATTATAAATTGAATTACAATAGTAGCGTATTGGGAAAGCTTTTAAAAATAATGAATGTGTATTAAATCACAAAAAAAAACAAATAAGTGTAAAAATATTTCTATTTTCAATATTTACAATTTGTTTCCTTAACTATGCGAATGAGTGAATTATATCTTTAATTATGTCACATATTTTTTTTTTTTTTTTTTCATTAAAAATTAAAATTTTGGTTACACTCTACCATAGAATTGAATACAACGTTAAAGCTATAATATAATTCATTTAACCCAGTGAATTATTAATACATGTTTGAATGCACTTAATTTTTGGGTATCAAATCTCCCTTAACTAGTTAAAAGTGAGTAACGTTTACTATATATGTAATGCATAATAATTTCTAATGACAAAGA